TTTCCGTTCCTGTACTTTGGTATTCTTTATGTTCAGCCTAAAATGACATCACTGACCTTTTTCAGAAAGTGCAGTATTGTTTTTTGTTGATTCTCCTCATCTGCGTTTAGTTTGTGTCTCCCAATGGAAGCAATCAGCTGTGTCTCTTGTTCCAGAAGTCCACAAAATGCTGCCTTTCTTTCAGCTCCAGTAAGAGTTCTGTTAATCCGTTCAGTCTCCTCCTGCCTCCATACTACAGATACAAATATTTTGAGCATTTTTTACAACATGTTTTCCAGTGAAACTTCTACTTTCACGTTTAAGAAGCAACATAATTAATTTTCAATATTCATGGAAGCCAATTTTTATGTTAGGAAATTGATTGTTATGCATACTTTCAACACAGGCAAAATGGCCCAGAAATGAATGTAAATTATACAGATGTTCTGTGAGAGTGTGTGTGTACATCAACTCCAAACTGCCAATTTGTACTCCAAACTCAAAGATGGGTTAGGAGAAAAAGGAGCCGTATGTGAGAAAAAGAATTTAGCTCCTGTAGAAACATGTGATGAAATGATTTCTTCACGATTTTGCATCTAAAATAACTGAGACTCAAACAGTTCCAAAAGGTATGAGCAATAGGAACTTTTTAAACAATTGCTCATCAAAGTCACAAGAAAAGAAACCATGGAGATCTTCTCAACAAATTAGGGACAGAATCTTACTGCGATGCCACTAGTACTCAGTTCTGAGAATACTAGTGCTTCTCCCTGCGTAAATGAGCCTGAGGTCCTTCAAAATGGAGATAAAACTTGACTGAAGGCCATGTTTAGCACTCCAGGTCTGACACTGAATATTTCAGTGGCATCATCTTTTGGCATCTAAGGTAGACGGATGCGCATTAAGAATTAGACAGTCATTGCTTTACTCTCCCGTTCTCTTCTACAACAGAACCCTTCAAGTAGAAGCAGCACGTAATAGCACAAGACAGCAGTGACAGCGGCACGTGAACCAGTACACATGGTACAAGAATCCCGCCTTCTGACTCTTAGGGTCAAATCACCAAACCACAGGTACCTGCTGCACTTCTGAGTGCACACAGAAGTACGCACGTGTGTCTATCACGGTTTATTTTGTAGCATCCATTTTTTGACTACAAGTGCCAATACACAGACTAAATGCCCTTACAGAAATCTGTTCGTAAAATCAAATTGTGTTTAATGTATAGTGTTTTCCTTTGCATACATTGTAACTATTCTTGTTTTTTCTGAAGACTCTGTTCCATTTCAAATACAACTGCAGTTTTGCAGGGAATTTTGTAAGATCCAACACTTCAACATTCCTGAACAATATCTCAAAGTGTTGTTATTGTTCTGGAACAGTTATGCAAAATCAAAACCCAAAGTAAAGAAAACAATCCAACAAGCAACACACACTTACTGAAAAAACCTATAACATCCTGTATCGGGTAAGATTAGAGGCAGGAGGAGGGAAAGGAGGAAGGTTTATTTTCTGCCCGTGTTCTTTCTTATCTACAATACCTTATGTTTCCCAGTCTAAAATATTTCCATTCATTTCCTTAAGGGTCTCCAAACTTTGGTATTAATATAACAGCTGTCTGACAAGATACATTTTTAAATAAAGTCATTTCAGCAAACAAAAGCACTGTATAGAATTAATTTACATGAAGCTTTATATGCCTGAAGGGAGCAGCAACTTCAAAGGTAGAGCTAATAAATATAGTAAGCAATTCTGTACTTACAGAAACGAAGAAGCTGTCAGTTACCATCAATACTCACCTCCTGATTCACCATATACATGCAATCAAGCTAAAAACATTCCTCTTAGATTATCCGTTCTACAGGCAGAGGTTTTACTCATTATAATTTTTATTTCAGTTTTCATAAAACAAAGTAGTTCATGCTTTTCAAATAAATAATCAACTACTCCATATGCAGACACACTGAATATATAGATACATCTCATTTGCACCATACAGCCAACAGGCAAGTTTTTGCACCAACAGGAATTGCTCGTACTGGCTGACCCTGTAACAGTATCCCCCTGTTGTGATCAGCAGCAATAACCTTCACAGCCCTCTAGAGGACAACAGACTCATTCTATTACTGTCACAATGATTTAGCTTGTGTAGACCGTTGACACTGTAAGAATGTAAAAGTAGTTTCAGATGCAGGTAAAAAAAAAAAACTTCCTAGAACCACTAAGCTCTATTAAAATAAAGAGCATGACTGCAAGTCTCCATGTAGAGAAGCAACTGGTCAACAATGGTAAACAAAAACAAACTAAAAAGATTGGTACCAGATGACTATTTTTAACAAAATGTTTAAAAGACATTTCAAATACTGGAGTTTTCTTTTCCAGTTTTGAAGTGGCACATGTTTTTTCCGGTTGCCTAGATATTAAATTCCTGAAGATGCAAAGCTGAAAGTTTTATTATTTGTGAATCCAGTGATAGTAAACCAAGCCAAAGAGACACTTATATATTTTTTAAATCTAAATATATTGTGAATATCAGCATTCATTCACAACTTTAACTCAGCTTTGTTGTTTCTATTGCAAATAAGACTCATCACACTTTAAAAAAGAAAAAGTGGATCATATATTTGGTAGCACATTAGCTAGGAAGCAGTTTTTTAAAGAAAATATTGCAGGAAATCAGATACCAAGTAGCACTTGCCATATGTGGAGAGAAAAAAGAAAAAATTGAGTATCTTGGCTTTTGATTATCTAGTCAGACACGTCTTTAAAAGGGCTTGATTCTTGTGAAGTGAAACACTAACTATCTATGAAGGAAAAGGGGAGAGGGAGAAACAAGCCCTAATGAATCACAAATCTCATGAAGATGGCATTCCCAAAATTCTGAAGTTTAAGACCAGTAATAATTTTTACGCTTGTCACAAACAGTAATATTTATAAGTCACTTATACATTCAGACAAAGTGATTTGTTCAATGCTACACCAAGTATGACGGTACTAAAAGATTAGCGTATAACTTGGGAATTCTTGAATCATGATCCTAAGCTCTATGAATAACACATGCCACCAAATTTATACTCGGTTTACCATGGAAGAAATAGCTGGGATGGTTGAAGGTAGGTCAAGTGGCTTTGTAATGCAGCAGGTAATCCACTAGGCCAGCTCTGCTACAGGCTCCGTAATGTCCAAACTGTCAAAGTTACACCACAAGCAAGCACTGCAGCCTTAGATACACGAGTTGTTACAAGTCACAATGCAAGCATCCTGCTTAAAAGGAGACATTTCAAACAGAACTCTTGCAGTTGCATTAAATGTTGTTTCAAATTCGCTGCTTTCTATTGTTTTCTTTTTTTTTCAAAAGGACTTACTCTAGGTTTTTTATTACATTTGCAACATTATTCTCCTGTAAGTTATGTCAGTTATCTGCAGTATTCACCTTATTTATTCAGGAAAGTTTAGAGGTGCTTGCCTGTATTAGACACCATCCACTCCACCAGGAACAATAAGTCTTTCAGGATGCCCTGTAGGATTCCTAACAAATTTTTAAAATTTCGACAACACAGTTTTGTGAAACATGGAATAAATTAGAAAAGAGGAAAAGTATCAGTAGAAGACGAGTAGGACAAAAGGAATAACCTCAGTCATATACTGTAAAATTCTAGGAAAAAATGTAATCCATTACAAAAAACGTATATATTAAATGATGAATGATGGATCTTAATACTAATTTCTTCATGGCATTACTTTCAGCATCTTAAACATAGAGTAAAAGATTGAAGTAACTCTGATCCAGAAAAGCAGTTCCTGTTCCTCTAGCTGACCTTAACATTAGAGATGAATAAAAAAAGAATAATAAAACTGCCAAATACCACTATTCTACAAGCTGATTATTTCCCAAAAAAGGTGTACTGGTTTTGTCTGGGATAGATTTAATTTTCTTCATAGCAGCTTGTTTTGTGCCATGCTTTGGATGTTGATAACATAGGGATGTTTTAGTTACTGCTGAACAGCGCTTACACAGAATCAAGGCCTTTTTTCTACTTCTAGTAATACATGACAATCAACTAATTATTTTAAAATGAAAGAAATTCCACTATAAGTAAAAAAAAATAATAAATCATGGAAGTATCTATAGAAACACGTCAACAACATAAGTTTGTTTTAAACAAACTGTGTTATTTTGCTGATTTAAGAGTATCTGTTTAAGAAAAAACTTACATTCTAAAGCATGGTACAGTAGCTCAAAGTCTTCTTTTGTTTTAGGGTTCAGTCTTCGCTCATGGTCCCTTCTCAGTTTTTCTTCTTTCTCTTTTTCCCTCCGTAACTCTTCTTGTGCCTCCCATGCCAGCCTTAACCTCTTTTCTTCCCTCAGATTTTGTACTACATGTATAGCATGCCAACGACGGAAATATGTCTGTAATACTATCACCTGTACGTGACACAATACCAAAGAATCATGAATTTAAAACAAAACAGTATAATACTTTGTTCTTAACTGTTTGTTTTTTTCTAGCTACTTAACTATGTTTTCTAAGATTTGTCTAGTACTCAAACTAATTTAAACCTTACAAAAACAGTCATGTACTACCAGTCTGAACATTAGTATGCTTACTTATTTAGGTAACTGCACAAGTATAACTAGTGAGTACAGTGAAGAAACTAAAATAATAAAGTTGAAATATAAACTACAATTACAAAATCCATTTTCCTTTTTCAAATCTCTCCTTAAATAGTCTTTTGACACGTATTGGTTTTATTCTTTTCAGCTTTGTAGGCAGAGGTCCTCTTCTTACTATCAGTTTACATAGTGTCTAGATTGGGAGTTTAGACACATATATGCAAAATTTCTTTTAAATTTCTAGTTACAAAAATCAACGCATACACACAAAATCATCTGCATTTTGTTTGTAAACAAATAATGAAAGTGAAGTTACCAATGACAGAACTTAAAAAAGAAAATTAAATATCCACTTTCCAAAGCTGTAGCTATTAAAGACTAGGGAAACATCTATGGTATGCTATACAGGGAGCTGCTGTGCTTTAGCCCAGCCAGAAACTGAGCACCATGCAGCTGCTTGCTTGCTCCTCGCCTGCCCCAGTGGGATGGACAGGAGAAAATGTAACAGAAGACTCAAGGGTAGAGACAAGGACAGGGAGGGATCACTCACTAATTATGGTTCCAGGCAAAACAGACTCGACTTGGGGAAAAATCAATTTAATTTGTTACCAATCATATCAGAGAAGATAATGAAATACAAAGCCAGATCTTAAAAACACCTTTCCTCCACCCCTCTCTTCTTCCCAGGTCTACCTCCTCCCTGCAGTAGCACAGGCGGATGAGGAATGCGGGTTGTGGTTGTTTCTGCCGCTCCTTCCTCCTCAGGAGGAGGACTCCTCACACTCTTCTCCAGCTTCAGTGTGGGGTCCCTTCCCATGGGAGACAGTTCTCCATGAACTTCTGATGTGAATTCTTCTCATGGGCTACAGTTCACAAACTGCTCCAGCACGGGCCCCTCCCATAAAGTGCAGTCCTTCACCAACAGACTGCTCCAGCGTGGTCTTTTCCACAGAGTCACAGCTGCCTTCAGGCACAGCCACCTGCTCTGGTGTGGGGTCCTCCATGGCCACAGGTCTTCACAGACTGCTCCACCGTTTCTCTGATGGGCTGCAGCGGGGCAGCCTGTTGTCTCAACATGCGCTGCAGGGGAATCTCAGCTCTCACACACCTCCTCCGGCTCCATCGTCACTGACCTTGGTGTCTGCAGAGCTGTTCCTCTCACATCTCACTCCTCTCCACTGCAGCTGCACCGGACCTGGCTGGCCCAATGAACTCTGGTGGCCCTGTCGGGACAAGCTCTGCCCAACAGGTGCCCCAGGAGCGGGGCACTTCAGAGCACTCCAAGCCACATCGCTGCCCTGCCTCTGCCAGGTGATGGGAGTGGGGGGCGGCCCAGCACAGACAGCCATCTGTGCCTTCCCTCTCTCTGCTCCAGGTCCCATCTGGTGTGGGTTTCCTTGTCTCTTCTAAAATATGTAATTCACAGGGGCACCGATTGGCTCAGCCCTGGCCAGAGGCAGGTCTGACTTGGAGCCAGGGAAGCTTCCAGCAGCTTCTTACAGGAGCCATCCCTGCAACTCCTCCCCCACTACCAAAACCCCACCACACAAACCCAACACCGGAGCACAACACACAAGCCTGAGATTCTGCCTGCAGAGTTAGCACTTGCACCACAAGGAGTTTAGCCAGGTCCATACCATGAGCTAATAAGCATTGCTCAGCATTGAAAGCTACCAATCACAAAACCACACTAATACAGTTATACTGTCTCTAGAGACACCTTAACCTAACATTTCTCTTGAATACGTCTTCAGCTAGTATTTCAATATGGAACTACACTGCACTGTGCAAATTCATCAACTTGAACCAACACCAAGCTGAAGTCTCTCTACGGTGCACTATAGATTACCTATAGATACATTACAGATTTCAGCAAGTGGCACTAATGATCACAGTAAAACATATTGGTAGTACTGAGGAAATGGTTGCCTATTTGGGTTCCACTTCTACAAGATGCTTATTGCCATCAGCTAATGCTCACCAAATAAGAAGTTCTTAAAGAAAACTTCTACCCAGAAAATTTCAAAGCATCTTGCCAACCATGCCAATACAATTAACCTACTTAGACACTTGGAGAATCAACTGTTTCTCCATTTATTTAGATTCTGACTGTTTATTTTAAGCAATCAAATTAATAACTAGAGCATTTACAAAGCAGTGCCCTGCCTCACATGATGTCGAGCACACTTAAGTTAGGTGTGCCGTCACTGAATATGTAGTTTTCAAAAAGCAATTTGGAATGCCTAAATTCCAAGGTGTAGCATTGGAAGATGCCCTACTAAGTGTGTTAAACAAACAACGCGAGAGAACACAAAACCCAAAAGGTGAATGCAGGTCTCCTAAATCCTAATGCAATACTCCATCCATTTGAGGCCATACATTAAGCATGTAGCTTAGGTCCTTCCAAAGAGATCACGAGAACGTCACAGGGACAAGCCTGTTTTAATCCCTAATGCTCTACACGGAAGCTTAACTGTCGCTGTAAGATATAAACCAGTAAATTCAGAATTCTTAATATTTAAGAAATCGTAAGGTTTCAAATGTTGCTCAAAACAAAGAGCAAACACATGCTTCTCCCATATCTGAAAGATGACAAAATGTGAAGATTAAGCAGACATTTTGCAGTTCACTTTTAAATTCACTCTTTGAACACTCTGAGCACTCATTAAATATTCAGACAACCTTCAGAATACTTTGCTTTACAGATAGTTTCAAACGGATAAGAACTTACTGCTTCAAGTCTACGTTTATGATATTCTTCCGCTGTAAGATACTTCCCAGGACTTATTAGTTTGTCAGTCATATCTGACACATACAGGCCAATTTTAGTCATCTGTGTTGATGTTGTGTTTTTTGTTTGCTGTGGCTTATTTTTTTGGAAAACCGTCTGGGGAAAAAAACGCATGTCAGATTATAACAAAACACAGAGAGTTTTTTTCCTCATTACAGTAAGTGGCAAAATTAGCTATTTGTAACAAAAATCACAAGGCTAATGATATTCATCCACTAAATACGTTCAGTTGCATGCTTCTTTCTGATCTACTTCCTCATTTCTACTGGAAATAATTGTGTCAACATTCTATTCCATGTGGCAAAATCAACATTCTAAAAAGACACTACAAAGCCATTACCTGTGTTTCCCTACAAAATAACTTAATTTCTTTGTCAGGTCGTTTTTTGGGTATTGTTTGTGATCCTGCATTATGAAATTCCACTCCTGTTATCCTGTTCTTAAATCCACCCAGAAATGGTTTATGATAGGTAGGTCTTTCAATTTTCACAACTACATCTTGGAATGAATCAGAATCTGTTAAAATGGAAGTTCCAAGATAGAAATATTGTTTCTTTTAGTAACAGATTGAGATTAGAGTACGATTATGTATAGTGCTACACGTTTAAGGACATCATTTACCTGTTTGTACTCTGACAGTGATGACATCAGGCATGTGATACTCCTGTTGAAATCCTTTCCCAGGAAAATGTTCCTGATCAAGACACAACTTCTCAGACTGGATAGTTTCATCAAAGGTAGCCCAAGTCCTCCTAACAGCTTCATCATCTTCAATCACGCTTCCTAAAAATAAAACCAAAATTAATTCCTAATATGCTTCTTGAAACAAACACATAAATAAAAGAACTCAAGTTTACCCCGAGATGATTGTATTGAAACACTGCAACACAGAACAATCATAGATTTTTGAGCTGGAAAGACAGCCTACTTGAACGCTGAAACAGTATTATACCCTTTTAAAGAGATATCCACCATAATACTGTCACCACATAAAAAATAATTCATATTACAGTTTTTTAAAAATTACAGTAAGAAAATCTATTTGTTTGCAAATGCATAATTTTAAATTAAAGTTATCCATTTACGCAGCAAACTTTTATTGAAAAATCTTACCTACACCTGCTCCAATTTAGATCTGATCTAAGCACACGATGGCTGAATCACTGTTGTCTATCACACAATACTTGATGTTGTGGTGCTCATTCAGAGACTGTATTCTGAACCAGGTATACTTAACCTGAAGCTCCAGGAATTACTTCTTTCTGATTTAGAGATAAGAATCCATCTGGCTTTGGTACAGTGCCCTTCCTAGGATGCGATCACCAGCTGCTGAGGATGAGAGCATCTGAGTGCAGCCCAGCCAAGAGGAAGGCAGCCAACAGCTCCATACTGCAAAGGGTCGCTGAGCAGGACGTGCTGCCTTCCACTCTAAGGGTCTAAGAAAACGGGGCACTGAATTGGAAAGAGGAAGTAACATGGAGAGGAACAAGTGCAGGAAATGATGGAGCGTTTCAGGGACTGCAGGCGAAAGGAAAGGATAAAAGAAGGGTGGCAGGTAAGTTACAAGAGAGTCTGAGAGAGGTGAAGTAGTGAGGTGATTGCTATGGTCGAGTCTAAACCGTTAGCAGCCCATGTACTCGGGTGAACTACACGCTGCTGTTTTTCAAATGCATGTACAAAACACGGATATATACTCATGCACATTTCTGGAAATGAAGATGACACTATAAAAATGCCATATTAGCCTATAAATCGCTACTGCAACTTGAGATAAAGAATATGTTGCCCACCTTCTCAAGCATGTTTTATATGAGAATTCAAAAAGTTCCTTCAAGACCAAAAACCGGTAAACATGAACAGAATGGGAGGGGGGGTGTGGTCTGCAAGAAGCCATAATCAGGCTGAAGGCAAAACATCTTTAAAGCCCTAATGTCCAACATTTTAATACCTTCTTTACCTGTTACTGTCCCACTTGCCGTATTCTCTGATAGTACCGAGTTTTGAGATGTTTGCTCTTCTCTTTCTGAATTTTCTACTTCAAATAAAGTACAATTGTCACTGGTAACAGGAGATGTGCTCTCAGACGATGCGCTGAATGGGGAATATGGCTCAAATACATCCCACTCATTATTTCCGACCACTTCTTGGTTGCCTAGTCCTTCGCTGGGTAATTCCCACTCTGCTGAACTTGACTCCTCCTGCTCCTTCAGAGCTGACTGCTCCAGACTGTACACAGACTGCTCCTCCGACTGCATGGTGTCTGTAGCTTCTGAAGGCAGAGGCTTCTCTGCTGGGTCCCTATTCTCAGCCTCGCCGACTGCTCTTCCTCGTGAGGGTGCTGAGGGTTGCTCCGCACCTGACCTTTCCATTTCAACAACTTCCAAGCAACTATCCGATGGGTCTTCCATTTCCTAAAGTATCGGTTCCATGTTTTAAACCTTTCTGCAAGAATAATCACAGTATCTATTTAAAATTGCCTACTAGCATATTCCTACCACCGAACTTATGGTGACTTAATACTTAATAGTCTGAAAAGCTTTTTCTACACCTGTTCCCAAGTAGCCTATTTGGAATAGCACAAGGCCTTTGCTTCCACCAAACGCAAAACACTTAATGTCTTCTCACTGGTGCTTAGCAACATAACATTCCACAGCACTGCCAGCGGGCAGGCAGCATAATTCCTTCTTACTTACACATATCTAACACGAATTTACAGGGCAGCATTCCTCAG